ATAGCAGTGTTTCAAGGAATGATAGTTCAAAAGATGATGGATTCTCGACTATTCGGAGAGTTAAATTACCTGACCATGCTAATGTTTCAGAAATAAGCACAGACGAGTGCAAAATCAGGTGCCTGAATGATTGTTCCTGCAATGCTTATGCTTATGTCAGAGGAATCAATTGTATGATATGGCGTAATGATTTAGTTGATATAGAGCATTTTCAGGAAGGTGGGAACACTCTTTATGTTCGTCTTCATCCTTCTGATATCGGTAAGCACAATACTTTCTGCTGAATTCATAAATCTCTTACCAGTTTTCTTCTCATTCGTGCAATTATACAAATCTAAAACCAAAGTAGTTTGTGCTTTAGTACAAAGATCAATTTCTTGTTTGTCTTTACTCTTTATTTGTAGCAAGCTCAAACAATAAGCAATATATCTTTTTCTTCCTTGTGTTTGAAGAATGATTAGCCTTTCTAATTTCTTGATTTCTCCTTTGAATATCTTTTGAAACAGGTCAAAAAAAGAAGACGATCATAATTGTTGTAATATCAATTCTAGCAGCTCTGGCTTTGGTTGTTATAGTGGCCATTTGGCTAGTATGCAAGTACAGAAAACGAGGTAAATTTTGATGCAGTAACATTTCTGACTTGTTAGTTGCATTTATTATATGTTCCATATTGTACTTATACCTTTGACTTGCAATTTTCAGAATCCAAGAGGACCAGTGAAATTCCCAAAAACCATTTAGTTAGGAGTGGAGAGTTCTCCACAGAATATTCTGGACCAGGCGACATCAGTGCTGAAGGGCATCAAGGAAATGGTTCAGAATTAGCATTTTTCAGCTTCAGCATGGTGGCCACAGCTACTGATGACTTCTCTCTTGCAAACAAGCTTGGGCAAGGGGGATTTGGCCCCGTTTATAAGGTAAATTTTCAATCTTGATAGATTATTCTGTTCCTTTAGGAAGTATATGGCCATGTTTTGGACTAAAGTTGATGTTTTTCAAATCTTTAGGGAAAGCTACCTTGTGGTCAAGAAGTTGCTGTAAAAAGGCTTTCACAAAAGTCTGGACAAGGCGATGAGGAGTTCAAGAATGAGATCACTCTAATAGCAAAATTGCAACACAGAAATCTTGTTAGACTTTTGGGTTGCTGTGTTGAAGGAGAAGAAAAAATGCTGATTTACGAGTACATGCCCAACAAAAGCTTAGATACATTTCTATTTGGTAAGTTCAGGAAATTCTATCAAAATAATTTCTGCTGCTCCCACAGATGTACTATAGCAACACATCTCATTGAGATAGACACTAACAACTGTATTGGCTGTTAAACTTTGCCAGATACTGCTAGGAAATCCCAGTTAGACTGGAGAAAACGCTTCAACATTATCGAAGGAATTGCCCGAGGATTACTGTATCTCCATAGAGATTCAAGGCTTAGAATAATCCATAGGGATCTAAAGGCTAGTAACATTCTGTTGGATGAAGAGATGACCCCAAAAATTTCAGACTTTGGCATGGCCAGAATATTTGGAGGAAACCAAAATGAAGCAAATACAAATAGGGTCGTAGGAACATAGTAAGTATCATTTGATTTTAAATCTTTTAAGAGACTAATTTCAAAATTTCTTGTTCCTGGAGCTAAATCCATTTCATTTTGTTACCTTGTTGCTAAACAACAGTGGATATATGGCTCCTGAGTATGCTATGGAGGGCCTGTTCTCTGGCAAGTCTGATGTCTACAGCTTCGGCATAATATTGCTTGAAATTATATGTGGACGTAGAAATACAAGCTTTCGGACAGATGAGCATTCAGGCATCATTGGATATGTAAGTCTGACTAATTTTCTCCAACTATTTCAATCTTTTTAGTCCAGAACAAGCTGTCTGAATAATGGGGCTAATTTCTTGTGTGATGAGCAATGACGGAGTGATCATCTTTCTCATATTTTTCTGGTGGAAAATATTTCAGGCATGGGAGAAGTGGGATGAAGGCAGACCAATGGACCTAGTGGATCGTTCGATTTGGGATGGTTGTCAACACAATGAAGCATTGAGATGTATACACTTGGCATTGCTTTGTGTTCAAGATTTGGCCGCTCACAGACCAAACATGTCTTCTGTGGTTTTGATGCTGGAAACTGACAATGTAAGGTTGCCCTTGCCTAGGCAACCTACCTATACTTCAATGAGAAGATCTGTGGATGAAGATATATGGCATGGGAATCAGGATTTAACATCTTCCAACAATGTCACAGTTAGTGTACTAATAGGTAGATGATTGGTTAATGCTTGTTCCTTCTTACATACCTGCTTCATTTGAAGAGGATGGGATCAAGTAGTGTAACTATGTAAAGTTATATTTGGAACTATGTTCATAATTTTTTGTTAGCTAGGTAAACTTTAGCACATCATGTGTATTGTAATTAGAAGGTGGTTCAGCTCTGCAAGCTGAAAGAGAGATATGTCACAACCTTGTTCAATCAGTACGCTTGAAGTTTTTTTCTTTACTGTTTGTAGATGGAGATGCTCCACCAATCGAGCAAACCCCACTTGTCATATCTAGTTAGAATGAAGCATTTCAATCGGTCAGTATATATCACTGTATAATCAAGGGACAGAATTACATGCTTGCTATCGCCTATCACTTCAAGAAACCATTTTGCAGTTCTTCTAAAGCTTGAGAACTAGTATTTCGTCCATTGAAACACAAGCAATAGTTATTACCAGGTTTTGCATAACTTGAACTATCTGTAGGGAGATCAGCTTGTGTTCCATTTGAGACAAAAGGGGAAATGTAATTATTTACTATTTAATTAATCAGTGTCAATTTTGTGGTGGTTGACTTGTTGCATGAAACTCAAATATGGAAGAAATCTTCAACTCTTGAGTGTTCATAAAATTATTTTCTTATATATAAAAAGGGAATGACCTATTCTACCTTATACCCTCTAGTAGATCCATACAGAGGTGAACTTTGTCAAATTCAAACTTCACCATCAAACAAGGGGGCTGCTCAAACCTTCACTGTGTAGGTCGGAGTTTGGTTAGCTATCTTGTAATCCACTCTCCCATTTCTCAAAAAGAACATCAAATATGGAGATGAGGATTTCATTTAATCAAAATTAGTAGGATTGTAGATTCCAAACAACTTTACGCTCTGTGAACAACAAATAAGCACTAACAAACAATAGCCTTTCTTATGATATATTATCACACAAGATAAATGTTAAATTCTACAATTCTAAGGACATACATTTCACCAACTCCTCTAAGGAAAAGAAATTATTGGCATGACATACCAGAGAAACATGGGATTTTTTGTCAAAAGGGATCAAAAAGCCTAAATAGTTGAATTCCTGGGGCTGCTATAAGGTTGGCAAAAAAGAAGCAATAAAAGATTAAGGAGGGAGACCTTATATCAAAACTTTGTGATCCAAATGTTACCTTCCAAAAATCAGAGCCTTGTCTCAGCTTGGCTAAATAGTACACAGTTTGAAACTCAATGGATAATGTTGTCATGTCTCTAGTCTACGCTTCTCCACTTAAATAGTAGCAGACTGTTGTCTTCACTTAATTGCCACATTACACTGCCCTGTTCCCACTAGACCAAAGTCATATTTGATATCAGGCATCTTCACTCCAGGCAGACTATATCTTGGGATTTGGTAAAAGAATATTCATGATAGGAATGATTCTCCTCAAAGGAAGAATTGACAATTACTGGTATCAGAACAGAAACAGACAATTTAACATTTTAACCTTTGGCAAACGTGTATTATTAGCACATAGCTTGTCCCTTACATGAATGGGTGCTTCAAATAATGTGGCGGCCAAAGCAGAAAGGAAAACCCCCAATTTCAACCCTAAAACCCAGAGAATCCTTTTCGTCTTACTGCTCGATTCTCCTCTTTTCCACTGTTTCCAGCAGAATACGGCTCAATTGCTCAAAATTGGTTAATGGTGTTTCCTGTAGTACCGTTGGCTCTGGGAATTTGGTGAGATCGATTAAAATATCCCCCATTCAAACTGCACTTCCAACAAGTGGCTCAGACCTCAGAGTTAGCAAGCAACCTTGGCAGGTGGTTCATTGTTCCCCTCCTTCCCGGTACAGTTGCAATACGGCACCTGAACTCAAAGCTATGATCAGATCGCCTATCCGACCCAATCCTAGAACTTAGAACGGTTAGTATGCCTACCAAAAGTGGACAGTAATATTATCTACTGTCTTTGTACATATTTGGACTTCTTCATATTCAAAATAAGCAAAACATTTTTTTAAAAAAGTTTAAGAAAATTGTTGGACTCATAATTACTTTACATATTCTAAAAGAATAATTGAGGAGTGATCAAAAGGATATAGTCGAAACTAGTCTTTGATTTTTATCCTTATATATATTTTTCTTCACCCGAACAATTTATTTACTTAATATGGACTATAGGGTTATTCAAGAGCACCAAACATTTTTTTCAGATGTTTACCGTACTTGTTAGTTTCCACCTTAAAAACTTGTACTACTAATTTACATAATTAATACCTTTTCATTTTAATCATATAAAACCTTCAAAAAAAATAAATTAAATATTGATACCCTGTTTTCCAAATCCCATAAAAATTAAGCAAGTTAATTTTCATACCGAATCCGATTATTCTTTTTAAGAAGAAAACAAGTATCTCAAGTTCCTTTTTTTTCTTCTTCTTAATTATTGTTTTGAAGATAACATCTTTATTCCCAGATGTGGACTTTAGTGATCTTTAGTCCAAATAACCTCAGATCAAGTAAGACAAGTTATAGTGTCTTTACTCCCAACCCTGCATAGGCACAGATAAATTTGGCTTCAAACATCTAACATATTATATTAGAGAATGGAAAAAACAAAAAACCAAATCATTGTCCAAAATTGTTCTGAATAGTTTTTTGGACATTCTAATAGACCTGATACATTTCTAAGAGATATCTTGTCGCCAAGTTTGAATTACTTGGAGAATTCCAACTATGTTCATTCTTGTTTCTGCTCCCTTTATTTGGTTATTGAAAGTTGCGCGGTGACTCTTTTAATTGTTCCTTGATGTTTGTTATGATACAAGTCCATTTAAGAAAATGGGATTCAGACAAGCCTGGAAAATTCTTTTGATCTCTATTATTTCTTGTTGTATCATACAATCATATCACTGTAATGCATCAGACACCATTCAGCAATCCTGGAAACTTTTAGTAGGGGAAACATTAACATCTGCTAGTCAAGTTTTTGAATTTGGATTCTTTACTCCAGCCAATTCCGATAAAAGGTACCTGGGGATATGGTTTAAAAATATCCCTCCTATTAAAGTTGTGTGGGTTGCAAACAGAGAAAGTCCACTTAAAGTTTCTGATTCCACTGTGAGTCTATCAATTAGCGAATATGGAAACTTGGTGCTTCTTGATGGTACACAGAATGTTATCTGGTCAAGCAATGTGTCTGTCCCTACTAATAACACAGTTGCAGTTGTTCTCCTGGACAGTGGGAATTTAGTGCTTAAAGATAATGTCTCGGGACAATCCTTCTGGGAAAGTTTCGATTATCCTTGTGATACTTTCTTGCCAGGAATGAAAATAGGTTTTAACAGTAAAACCGGGGAGAAATGGCTCTTGTCTTCTTGGCAGAAGGAAAATGACCCCTCACTCGGAAATTTTTCTATAGGAATCTCGGAGCAACTTTCTCCTCAGTTTTTTATATGGAACAAAGTTACTCCTTACTACAGAACCGGGGAGTGGAATGGACTGAAGTTCATTGGTTTGCCTTATATAGATTCAGCTGCCTATATAATTCAATTTGTTTTTCAGCAAGACTTTCAAGAGGGAACCACATATTTCACCTTTCTTCCAAATACTTCATTCCTAACTTTCGTGGAACTTCAGTCTACGGGGTCTGTTCAAGTTGTTCAGTGGACCAGTGGAGCTCCAGCTTGGGAAATTTATGCTACAATGGTACATGCACCATGTGATATATATAACACATGTGGACCTTCAGCAGTCTGCAGCAAGCATAACTTCCCAACTTGCAGCTGCTTAAGAGGGTTCGTGCCACACTCTAGTGATGAATGGAGCAAAGGAAACTGGACAGGTGGTTGTGTGAGACGAACTGAATTACTATGTCAGCAAAAGGGAAATAGCTTGTCTCCAGGGGTTGGACTGCAGGACGGATTTTTTAAGCTTAGTGGACTGAAACTGCCTGATCTTGCTGCTATTTTTCGCCTTGACAGTGCAAGTGAATGTGAAAAATTGTGCTTAAACAATTGTTCTTGCACTGCTTATGCTTATGTGGCAGGAATTAGGTGTATGGTGTGGTCTGGTGATCTTTTAGATATGCAGGATTACTCATACTCCGGGGAAGATCTTTTCCTTCGACTTGCCTACTCAGAGTTAGGTAACTACTACAGTCTACATTAATTTGGTTTACACTAACTTTACTATGCAATCCATCTACTGCAGTAGTTTACTAAAATGTTTTGTTCAGTTTTTTCAGGTAAGAGGAAGCGTAAAAGAGCACTAATCATATGTTCTGCAGTATTTTCTTGTCTCTTTTTGGGATTTGCTCTATTTTGTTTGCTCAAGCACAAGATTTATATAACAGGTAATGATAGATGTCCCTCCCTAAAGCGAACAAGTTGAAAAATACTTATGACAAATCAAACTACCTTAATGGTTTTGTTGACACAACGGACGTCTAGCCTTATCTTTATGTTATTTACTTCATCTTAACAGGACAGAAGAGAAAAGTAGCCAGAAGCTTTAGTCTGGGTGATTCATGCTACATTTCAAAAGACTACACAGTGGAAAGTTTATGGGTTGGTAATTTAAAGAAAGAAGATCCAATTGAACTTCCGCTGATTGAATTTGAGGTAATTGTCACAGCAACAAACAACTTCAAAGTAGAAAACAAACTTGGGGAAGGAGGATTTGGTCCGGTTTTCAAGGTAACTACACTCTTGTTCAAATACTTAACCTAATATATGACCACATAAACACAAATCCGTAATGGAACTTGCACTATATATGATTTGATAATCAAAATTATGAACTGTAAAATATGTGTTCTGATCATTGGACTTTTAATTGGCGGACTCTGCATAGGGAAAGCTAAAAGATGGTCCAGAAATAGCAGTGAAAAGACTTTCTAATCGAACGGGGCAAGGCATAGAGGAGTTCAAGAATGAAATCGTATTGATATCAAAACTCCAGCACAGGAATCTTGTACGACTCCTGGGATGTTGCATTGAAGGGGAAGAACTTCTTATAATATATGAATACATGCCAAATAGAAGCTTGGATAAATCTCTCTTTGGTATGTTTGCTCCTGTTTTCCTCTCTTCTAATTCTTTTCTCCGTCTCTTAGACTCAGAATAAAGCTCACATTGCTAGATTTTCCTAAAACACAAATGCACCTAAATGGCTGAAAATATAGTTGCCATCATGTACAACTTGTCTAAGGGATTCTTAGAGGGGATACTTTATTAACTGTTTATACATTAATGATCAGATGCTTCACAAAAAGAACTGCTAGATTGGCCTAAACGGTTCAACATCATTCAAGGTGTTGCTAGAGGGCTATTATATCTACACCGAGATTCTTGTTTGAACATTATCCACCGGGATTTGAAGGTAAGCAATATCCTTTTGGATGAGGAGATGAATCCAAAAATTTCAGACTTTGGTTTAGCAAGGACATTTCAAAAGCAGCAGCAACTAGTGCATACTCACCGAGTAGCTGGAACATAGTAAGAAACCATATGTCTGTACTGCTGTATCAATTTTACTTTCTGAAAGTTAGCACTTATAATTTTTGGGCGACAAATGCAGTGGATACATGTCTCCTGAATATGCTTTGAGGGGAGTATTCTCCGAGAAATCTGATGTCTTCAGCTTCGGAGTCTTGTTATTAGAAATCATAAGTGGCAAGAAGAATTCAAGTTTCCATTATGTTGAAGAAAATCTTAACCTCCTCAATTATGTTAGTACACACTCTTTGTCTAACGCTGTCTTTGATCAAATTTCTTGTGCCTTATGACAGTACTCATGTGTATGGATATTGCAGGCATGGAAATTGTGGAGTGAACAAAGAGGATTAGACTTTATGGATGGGACATTGATCAACTCATTTTCTCCAGAAGAGATAACGCGATGCCTACACGTTGGCCTTCTCTGTGTTCAAGAGCATCCTAGGGACCGTCCTACTATGGCTGACATAATTCTCATGCTAAACAGTGAAATGAAATGCTCAAGTCCTAAACAACCCACATTTAAGTTTGAAACATACTTGGATCTTGGAGGATCAGTAAAAGATAACGAAAGATGTTCTATTAATGAGTTAAGTGCATCGTTGTCTCAAGGACGATAGAACATGTTAATGTACATTCTAAAAAGTTGTTAATCAAGTCATTAGCTTATGATCATGTAGTTTTTCTTCATATGTAAATGCACCATTCTCGTAGATGTAATTCGTTTCACCCCATTTTTTTACAAATCAATCTTGTACTGAATTTCTTCAGTACTATAAGTTGTGTAATTATGCTGAATATAATACCAATTACCAAAAGTCAGAATCGAGTTTAATTTCAAACTAGTCTAAAGTCCTTGCTAAGATTCAAGGCAAAAGATGCGCTTCGTTTTATCTTCGGTGACATTTTTAGATCACAAAATTAAAAGGCATTTTAGTATATTTTACGTATCTATAATATCTTCTTTACTTTCTTTTTTTGAACTCTGTGTCAAATTGAGTCAGACAAATAAATTAAAACAGAGAAAGTATTTCATATTCGTATTTTCGTCATAACTTTATTTTTGTCAACTTTAGCTTACATTGGGAATTTGGGATGGTTACATGACTCCGCCACTTTTTTGAAGAATATTGTCATAATAACAATATTTTTGTCTATTTCAAAAATAACAAATTATTTTTATAATTTTAGCATATTTGAATGATTATGTTGTTGTTTAAAAGATAAACAAACCCATAAATTAAGGGATTATGTATCTGATAAATAAACATGAGAGCGGGAATCATTTGAGATTGTTATTAGTATGATGATTCTTGTCCAGCTGTATAGGTGTATGTTGAAACATGTATATCTTTATCTGCCACGTTGTTTTTCTAATTAATTAATTAATTCTGTTTGGTTTCTATAAAAAAAAATAAAAAAATATTGCACAATCAAATGTTTCCCTTTTACATTATCCAATAACCATGGATTTTAATTTACACTTTGCGTTGATAAGATTCCTTATATACCGTTCCAGCTTCCTACTAAATAAGAGGAAATGATCCATGACAGTTCAAGTTAATTAGTGGCCTAAAGTCAAAAATAGGTTTAGGTTTTTATTAATTTTTTTATTTTTGAAATCTAAAATTTGTTTTTTACATCAAAGTATTTTTTAATGGGCAAATCACATAAATCCCACTAGTTTAGATCTTAATAACTATGATTCTCAATAGTTTTAAATATTACTTTCTCTACCGTATTTCATGATTAGGATACATGAGTCTGAATCCATGAGATACATGTATCTGTCGAATTTTAAAATTGAGATACAAAATTTATTTATTTAAATTAATTGGTTGTAACTTATTTCCTTAATTAGAGGAGTAATTGAGGATTTTCAAAATACATAGATAATTAATTTCATTTTATTATTCTTTGAAATAGTAAATTCATTAATATTATTAATATAAGATAAAAACATGTATATCTTGGTAATGTAATTTGATTAATTTCAAATTATTACTCTTAAAATAATAAATTCATTAATTTGATGTATCTATTATCAATATAGATGTATCCAACAAACTAAATATTTAGATACATGAGTGTCATACAAGTACATTAATTTCATGTATTTGTTATACGTATCTAGTATTAATTTTATGTATCTATTTATATATATATTTAATATTAATTTCATGTATCTTTTATATGTATCTAGTATGAATTTGATGTATCAAGTATCAATTGCATATGTTATATCCAAAAACATGTATCTCGGATACATAGTAAACATATACATCTAATTATGTGTATCTAAATATGGAATATACAAAAAGAAAAAGCATATACATCTAATTATGTGTATCTAAATTTCATACATTATATCCAAAAACATGTATCTCGAAAATATAATAAGCATGTACATTTCATTATGTGTATCTAAATATGAAATGTAGTTGAAACACATGAATCTATGAACAAATCACGATTGTAGAGTATATGTCATATCATTAATATCATTGTGTTGTTAAAAATCATGTATCCGAAATTTAATAGTGGATTCATATACATGTTCAGATACCCCATTACTAAAAATACAACTCAAATCTTAATTAAGAGTACTACTTATTGGATACACATGTTTCAAGGGCTATTAATATTGGTACTACCAAATCCATATCACAGTAACCAAAGAAAATCTTAAAAGAACACCAGCAAACAAAAACTCTCTACAATATTCCCTTTGATCCTTTTGCGATGTGGCATAACATAATCAAAACTAAGATCCATTTCTTTCGGAGACAAACAATCAAGACCCACTATGAATTGAAAGTTTTTTCTGTAGCAGTTACTGTGATTGAAACTCGTGATAAATGAACAATATAAAATAATATTTGGGTTCAGGAGAATTTGTGGTGATGATAGCTTGAGAAGAAGAGAGTAGATTAACTATTGTTGCAATGAAATTGTAAGGTGAAATTCATGAATAAAAAAGGAGGAGACATAATTGAGTGATAAACATGGGAGGGGAGAATTAAGAGAGAGTGGTTGATTTGGAGTGAAAGAGTTATTTAAGCAGATAATAAATCAATAATAATTTTAAGGGATGTGGGTATCTAATTGTATTTTTAAATAATATATTAATATATGGTATAAAATACTAAAAGTGGTAATATATGTAATTATTTAAAAGTAAAGATAATATTAGTATATATAGTAGTGATGTATGTCTAATAAGGTAGTTTATCTTTTTTTAATTTTGGGATCTTAAACATGTCATGTGGAAGTTAAATTAAAAACTGACAAAAAAAAAAGAAACATTATTTAATGTTTCGAAACGAACTAAAAGAGAGACACAATATAATTTATTTATTTTTGTTAAACATTATTTATAATAATTCTATTATTACTAAAAAATAATAGGGGCCAGAAAATTTTGGGGCTTAAGACGGATGCCTCATTTTTAAGGAATAACTACATAAATGGATCATAAAATCCAAAATAATTACATGTTCATACCCCAATCCAAAGTAATTCAAGAAATATTCATTCTCTCAAAAAAATACCGTCCATACCCTCATTCATTAAGGTTAGTATTTTCCGCTTAACTAATACTAACGCAATATATATTGTATTGGTATGATTAAGGCTGATAATTTCACTTAATTGATATTAAATATATATATATATATATATATATATATTGAATTGGTATCATTAAAGTTTCTTGTTTAGAAATTACTCATTAGTCAATGATACTATAAAAGTATAGATATATTATTGTGATATATATTATTAAGATTTCTTGTTCAGTATTTATAAAGTCTTACATCGTGTACCAATTTTTTTTTTTTTTTTTTTTCAAAAAGGTCCTTACGAATAAAGAAGAAGGCGTGTAAGGTGTATACTTCCAAGTCACTAGTATAAATTAATGCTAAAAAGATGTGCATGACTTTTGGGAGTAGCACTTCCTTATTTGGTCAAGTATGATTTAAATACAGTGTGAACCAAACTTAAATGAATACTAACACGTCTCAACCTAACAGAGCCTCTATAATAATAATAATAAACTAGACCCTTGAAGATCACATACCGTTGGTCCACAAATTATTGTAACAAATTCCTACTAATTATGATGTGCATAATTAAGCGTTTTACATTTTTCAATTATTACTTTTTCCATCAACTTTTTACTTATTCATTATGTCAAAAATAAATATTCATTTTTACTTATCAATTTTCTTTCTTTTTTTTAAAAATAAAAATTAATTTACCATCTTATACTTATTTTATCCTTTCCAAACACTTAAATGATTTGTAATAATTATAAGAGATAGAATAAAATTATTATTTTATTTATTGCTCTTAACCGATATGTTAAGTCAAATCAAACATGACAAAATAAATACTATGAATGGAAGGAGGAGTAACATTTTTTTTCTTTCCTTGTTCATTAATTATTGCTATAATTTAAATGGTTTTGTAAATACTTCAAGTTTTCTAGATTAATATTGTACTAGCATATCGCAAATGTCGTAGTCTTATATTAACTAAATCATAAAGTTTATCTAAATGGCATATGCATCGATATTGTATTCCAATTTGGAGCAAACACCACATGTTTGTAAATGTTTTCTTATTTGGTTAAAGTTTCTCTAAAGCAAGTGATAACGTGATGTGTGTAATTTCCATAACCTTAATCCTTTTGTAGTTTCTACTGTTCTTCCTCAAATACTATTATTTTTACCCTAAGAATTAAATTCGAGGAATTTATATACGGCAAGACAAACATTCCTTTTCTTTTATATTAGGGATTTTCCAAAAAATATTATTCTTAGCACTATAAAGAAAAAATTGACCAAAAGCATTATAAAAAATGTTTTATATTGGAACTCACACATCTTCTATAACAGTAACATGGAGTAGAGTATATAGTTGCATCGTTTTTATATTTAAATAAAATAGAAGTATAGCCCCCAACAGAAACTTGACCTGATCGAAGATAACATTAATTCCCCTTCCATCTATAACCATAGAACATGCAACTATATATATTTAGTGCACATCACCAACTAAAGCTCGTCAGCTCATCATATTCTCTGTTGTCCATTTGTTTGACCTTTGAGTATGTACGATATTCTAGCCGTCTATATTATACTCTCAATTTATTTAGAGAGTTAATATTTTTGAAAAAAAGTAAAATTTCTTTAATAAGTAAATTAATTTTAAAATTTTATCAATTAATAGGAATAAAATGATAAACATCAAGTCAGAAATAGACAAGTAAATAGAAACAAAGGAAGCACTAGATAATTGAAAAATGGACGGAGGGAGTAATAAATATTAAACGACCCAACTTTCATTATGATTAATTAGGGTAGCCGTGCCTTTTTGTTTTTAAAGTTTGAAACAGACTAGTGATAAAGTAATTGATCAAGTCCTAATTAACAAGTGCCAACCCAAAATTAAAGATGATTAATACGTGTACCTTATCACTGACTAATACTAATAAATGCATGGACGTACGACATATATAGTGGAGTACTATACTTCTTTATTCTCTCTTTGCATGCTAGTGCTCCTTTTTACTACTCAATTACTAGTAATACATTTTAAAAAAGGTGCGGCTCAATAAAATCGATTCTCCAAAATCAAATCTTGACGAAAAGTATACACTTTTGGAAGGATATTTTTTAAATACTTGAGATATAAAGTTATTTAGAATTTTTTATATATTTGAATGTTTTTTTTCCAATAAATGTATATACACTTGATCCATTTAATATATTTATCATTAACATCATTATAAGAAATATAGATATCTAGAAAAAAAAATACATTTTCATTTATGTGAATATATTGATTAGATTATTATCTTTTATTTGTATTGTTTTTGTTAATATATGTATTTTTTTAAAACGTCTAAATCATCAATGGATATGTTCTTGTTGCTTTGAGTTGTTCAAATCTATTTTGAAGCTTTTTTTAAATTAGTTTATTAATTTTTTTTGTACCTTTTTAGTTCAAAAAAGAGTATTTATGAACCTATAAACCTAACGCCCTTTTGCTTAAATACTTGCCTTATGCTTTATCCGGCACTGATATTTCTGTCTTTTTTTCTTAATCACTTCAGATTTTTTTAAACCTTTCTGCATTATTTTTTGTGTAGAGATTGTTGAATTTTCTTAATTAATCAATCATATTTTCTCTTTTGGAACATGCAAACCTCTTCCTTGTTTTTTTATTTATTTAAAAGGCACGTGGAGGCGGTTTATTTAATGGAATAATCACTTTAGTGATATGGGTTAAAAAGAAATTTTACTGACATAATCTCTTTAGGTCCATTTAAGTATTAAAACGCGGTATCGTACATTGATATTGAGAGTATAAAGTATGAGATGTGTTTTTAAATATATATTTTCGTAGCGTATATTATAATAGCCATGGATTATGGAAAAAATCTTTAATTATTCAGCAATTTTAAAAATAAAGAATTATGTCCCTATTTATATTAGATTTTCTTATCATCTTTATAGTTTTAAATTTATTCTGAATTTTTTTTTACCTCAAATAGTGGGATATATATATATATATATATATGTATTTTATGTCTGTAGTTGTGAGTATTATTGCCTTAAAATTAGAGAGTTAGAGGCAGGTTCCAGAAACTAAGCAGTAATAGTAATCTGATTACTCCACTTGTTACAAAACAAAATATAGAATATTCAACTGATTATGAGTTTTTCGTTTAGAAAAGTAAAAGTCATTTTCAAGTATACGAAGACTAGGATTAACTTTTATAATTTGGACTAAGAATGTGAGAATAGTAGATAGAATTGGGCGTAACTGACCAATCAAAAAGCTTTTAAAGAGTTGGGAAGGAGCATCACTAAACTATAAAATAAACAAGGCCAAATCGACATGGTTGTTAAACAAAGAATCAACGTCAATACTATATTATATTCTTTCTTCTATAATGGAAAAGAAAAAAAAAAAACCATACACCTCCTTCTTGAATCTTATATTCATTCAATAAAGAAAGAATCGTATATTATACTGTTACGTTTCATTTTACTTGATCCTTATATTAGAGTCTAATCACAATTTTTTTAAAGATTTGTTAGGTCAATCGTGTAAGACGGAGGGAGTAGTAAATTGTAATGCAAACCACGATTGGAATTCTTTTTCCAGTGATTAAGAAAGTAATGATAAAGCAAATAAGTCTTTTTTAAATTTCTCTTTGTCTGTGTGCGGCTAATTTCCATGAGAGGTATAATATAATGGGTGCATGCATGGTGAGTGGTGACTTTCTTCATTTTCATTAGTCACTAACACAAAGAGACAAATTGAATACTATCTTCCGTGAAGGACGTGCTATGTGGGGCTTCTTGTGGAGTTATTACACTTTAATTAGTTCAAATCAAATTGCCGCTTCTGAGTAGGTTCAACTGTTTAATTTTCAACAATTTTGTAAGCACATATGACTAAGTATACCTTGAGCAGACCTTTCTGTAATTGTTTTCGAAATGGGGCAATTGCAAGTCCAGTCGCGCAGCTACATAGATCGAAGGAGAGTCAGTTGAACACTTTTCGTCGAAGAAAAATATATTACATCTATTAATTGGTCAAAAAGTTATAGTGTGATAAAACAATAATTTTCATAAATTATATTTGCTTGGGACTCTTGTTGTTCCAAAAATCATCCGCTTAGCTTGACTACTTGTTAATTAAAGAAACAAAAAATTGAGAAAAAGAATGTCGTTGTATTTTTACAAGAGTAAAATCATTAAAAGATTAAAAATTCGGATCTGATCTTCTACCAATTATAGACAAAAAAAAAGAAGAAGTGCTACTATGCCTAGAGTTTGCAATTATTGGCTATAATTAAATTAGCATAAAGTCTTAATTATGTACTATTAAACACTTTGCAACTGGAAGGATAGCTTAATTATATTCATAAATATATAGCGTCTAATTCAAACTTAACCTACCACTGTGGACTGTTTTGCACGAAACGTTGCCATTTTGCAACGTATGAAACCATCAATGGGAAATAACATTTAAAGTCATTCAACAACCAATTAGTACTAAATTTATTCTCTTTGCTCTCAGTTAATTATTAAGCTCTTTATGGCCTCTAACTACTACTAACACTTGTTGATATATGGCTAACAATTAATCTCATCGATGTTAAAGGACAATAATTTATGATATTTTTTTTTATATTTGAAAAATGAAGTATTTTTTTGGAGATGTGACCTGGAAGTCGCACATTCTTTTACTTTATACGATTAGCAAATATAGTCAAAAGACAAGCACAAAGAAGGAACCTAATCACTTAGACTAACCTTTGATTAATATAGTGACAAAGTTGTGAAGAGTTGTTGTAAAACAAGGGGGGTAAAAGATGGAATGATAAAGGATAATTGAACTGAAGTTTATTAATTAAATTAACTGTTTGACGATTATATTAATTCCATCACTGTATAATAATAACAATAATACTATGTGTTATATCCATACAAGGAGAAGTTGTTGGACTAGAAATTCTACTTGAAAAACATGACACGATCCATCGAAGTGGTATAGTGTGTCATATATTAGGTTGAGTCATATTGCATGTCGGTTGATTGATGCCGTTCCACTTACGTTAATCGCTCCTCACTCAAAGAAAATCGATTATACTAATCAAAACGTTGTTGTTGTTTTGGAAAGGTATGATAAACGATAAAATAGAATTATTAGATACTTTAATAAGTAAAAATAAAATGAGGGAGGAAAAAAAAAATAACAACACGTTCACACCAGATCAAGGATTATTATATAAAATGAGACTTTCCGTATACAAAAAATAAGAATTTTTTAAAGTTAAACTAACAACATGTACAATATACTACAATACAAATGTAACAACCATCCAAACAAGTTGTATTAGTCTTTTAGATCACAAGAAAATCCCTCCTTTGGTGGGGTTAAATTTAATGTTAGCTAAATGTTATCACAAAAATTGAGATAAATTGAGTAATATTTAAACCCAATAGAGAATCATCCAAACTATAGTATAGCCAATTTTAACTTCAACTTTGTAACATAGAATTTGAAATCAACTTTGTGACATTTCATTTTCAAGGGAAGACTTTAGAAGACGAAGAAAGAACCATAAAAGAGAGAAGGGGGGATGTGTACCAAAATACCATCTTCCTTCCTTCCCTCTTCCTATCAAACAAGAGAACAAGTACACCAACAAATGTCTCAAACACCAACACTGCAGCAAAACAAAATACTCTTTTCTTAAATTCCACAATGAGAAACACCAAAGATTACTACTTTCACCAATTTTTGTTCTTGATTTTGATTTCTCAATTTCTTCATCCAATTCTTGCTATACCCACTGATACAATCACCCCAACACAGCCTTTAACCAAAGATCAAACCTTAGTATCTTCCGATCAACACTTTGAATTAGGCTTTTTCTCTCCCGGCGGTGCAAATTCAGACAAATGGTATATCGGTATTTGGTACAAAGAGATTCAAGACAGGACTATTGTCTGGGTTGCAAACAGAGCTAAACCCCTTTCAGCTTCATCAACATCAGTCCTAAAAATCGCAGAAATTGGTACCCTTCTTCTCGTCGATGGTCAAACTGGAAATTCCGTCTGGTCTTCCGAGCAAACTCCGGCGACCAACGTAGTAGCCCAACTCCTTGACTCCGGGAACTTTGTCATTCGACCGGAAAACGATGACAGAGAACAGAGCTACCTGTGGCAGAGCTTTGATTATCCAACAAACACTTTATTACCTGGGATGAAACTTGGGTGGGATTCAAAATCCGGGATGAACAGAAACATAACATCATGGAAATCAGCAATCGATCCAGCTCCCGGAGATTACACCTTCAAGATCAACACCAGTGGGTTCCCGGAAGTTTACTTAACAAATAAACAACAAATTATCTACAGGAGCGGCGCTTGGAATGGAATTAGATTCAGTGGGGTACCGGAAATGAAGGCAAGTGAGATTATCTCATTCGAATTTCAGTTCAAATCAGATGAAATTACTTACATGTTCAAATTACACAACAAAACTTTATACTCAAGATTGTCTGTGAATCATACTGGTTATCTTGAAAGATTCACTTGGATCCCAACAAGCAACATGTGGAATCGATTTTGGTATGCTCCAAAAGATCAATGTGACGGATACACAGAGTGTGGGGTATCTGGAATTTGTGACACAAATATTTCACCAATCTGCAAATGTATGGTGGGATTCAAGCCTAAAAATCAAGTGGCCTGGGAATTGCGAGATGGGTCTGATGGTTGTGTTCGATTTCATAAATTCGATTGTAAAACTGATAAATTTAACGTATTGAGGAACATGAAGTTGCCAGATACGACGAATTCGTTTGTGGATACAAATATGAATTTGGATGAATGTGAAGCTATGTGTATGAACAATTGTTCTTGCACGGCCTATACAAATTCGAATATTAGCGGAAGTGGGTCGGGTTGTGTGATTTGGAGCACCGAACTTATTGACATGCGGCAGTATACGGCGGCGGAAGGTGGCCAAGTTCTCTACGTTAGGGTGGCTTCTTCTGACGCAGGTATCATCCTATTTCTCTACTAGCTTCGCTTGCCATTTCTTTTTTCGCTTAGTACAATGATAACGATTAATAATCGATAAAATATAGTTGTATTAAAAATAATTTGTACAATTAATTTTAAGTAGTTTGGGGTTGAAAATTGATGGTTAGATAATCCACTTCTCTGTCAAGATCAAATTTTGGGTCACCGGGATGATTTGAGTCGACTAGGTCTGCACGAGTGGAGTTAGTTGGAATTTTTTATTTACTTGTTAAGTTGGATGATATTTCAACACAGACAAGTAGAGTAAAATAGAAAGGGTGATGAAGTTTTTGGAAAATATTTTTGTGGAAGATTGGAGAGTATTTCCATGATTGAAAATATGCAATTTAATATTCTCGTTTAAGTTTATGTGTCACCCAATTTTTTTTTATTTAAAAATAAATAACATATTTTCATGTATATAGTAACAATTCAATTTTAAAATGCTTATTTTATTTTTAATGAGATAATTCATAGCTATACAAACGATGACTTGTATTTTACCACAAATTTCAAATGTCTTTTTTTAAAATTCTATGTCAAATTAAATTAATATCACATAAATTGAGACGAAGAAATAGTAATAATATTTTGCATATTTTTGTCGGAAGTTGATTTATCTCATTCATTTGTAAACTTGCTATTCTCTGCATTATTCCACTATATATATACTGTTCTGTTTGAATCTATTTTCATAATTTCAAAGTCGAGGACAAGTCGAAAAATCTATTTGTCCAAAAATTGTTAGTACCAGTTTTGCATGTCATCCAATCCAAATATTCCTTGAATAATATTTTAAATGTATTGTTTTGTCATTTTAATAAGAAGCATATTACACATTATAATAATTTTAATTTACTCTTTTCCTATTGAATTCCAAAGTTGGGAAATTTAACCATGTGCATGCCGTTAGTTTTGCCTCTAATAGATGAAATTATAAAAATATATTTTATTTTTTTGAATTTTTCTTTTCTATTTTATTTTTTGGGTATTGCTATTTTTTTTAAATCCCCCCCCCCCCCCCCCCCCAAAACGTCATGCAGAAATTAAATTAGAGATCTTATTTTGAAAATAAATACTCTACCCCCTTTGAACAACACGTATAGTTGTCTTTTAATATCCTTGGTCCCCTTTTTAAATTCCCTTTCACGTTACCTACTTTCGATCTAATATTTTATATAATCAACTAGATTTCAAAATAAAAATAAAAATTCATAATTGCTAGTTGAAAAAACAAGAAGTTAGTATAATAATTATTGAGTGCATTTAATCCCGAAAAGGACTTATAAACAACCTACTTTTCAAAGTTATTCTGCTAATGAGTTTGCCAATATATTCTTTGTGGTATGCACGTTTTCAATATAATTTTTCTTTTTCTATGCTTTGTGTATTTTACTTTGAAAAATCGAAAAGTATAAAAAACCTAACCATATCTACCAATCCCCCATCAACAATTTGCCTTCAATAGGGACTTAATTTTATACAATTTGCTTTCAATAGGGACTTAATTTTATTTATTTACTATATTTGGACTTTCTTTTTCTCATTTGATTTGATAGGGATGATTAGTATTTGGAAAATATGTTACACGGCCAAGTATCTCAAGGCTCTAAAAGTAATCAGCCACCTAATTCCACCTTCTTTCCAATCACCTGTTCATAAATTTGAACAAACATTATCGATTTATTGTCACAATTCAGCTCGTAATAATAATAAATAATCGAAATGTGCATTTGCTTTTTCTTTTGTACTTTCCTCTTTAAATCTGCATGCTTAAGAGGAAACTTTTAATTATGGTGGGAAATAAAATTTCCAAATAAAGCTTATTTAGCTCTAAATTATTTTCCATTAATTGGTCCCACAATAAATGGGTCCCACAAAGAGATACTCCTTTGCATTTCAAAACGGTGACGACTGACGACGCAATTTCCTGGTCGGTGTAATGGGCCCTTACATGGCCGTCGATCTTGACTTTTATTGGGCCATCCCGGCCCAGTTGTTTTCCCTTTTTTCTCCTTTTTAGAGAAAAAAAGCATATGTTTCCTAATGTAATACAAGAAAATGATTGGACACCAATTCCTTTGACACGTTTGGGAAAAGGTCATATACACGTTTGAAAAGTAAGGTTTGGTGGGGTAAATTAATTCAAATATTACAAAGGGATTAAGAAGTATATATTAAGCTAATTATTTTTTTTTACCAAGAATATGTCATGGATGATATTAATAGTTTTTTTTGGACACAACTTTGTGAAGTAGGTGAATTAGATCATGTTTAGTGACACCATTGGACTGTAGTCTTTTCAATTCAAACTTTGCTATTGTCACCGAAATTGATCTTTAACAACACTATAGGTTTTCATACATAAAGAGACATTCAAATTTGGCCTCAGCTTGCAAGTAAACACCTTTAACTTTAGTATACATACCTAGACACCTCAAATTATTTCTTCTGTCTCAATTGAACTCTCCAACTTACAAAATGATAATCTAGACACCTTCAAAATTAATGTGTCAAGTCAGCATGGGTGTCCATGAGACATAGTGGGACGAGTTGGAGTGTCTAGTTGTTAGTTGAGGTGTCTAGATATGCTCTTTTGAAGTTGGAGTGCTTACTTGTCGGCTGAGGTCAAGTTTGAGTGTTTCTTTATGTATTATGCCAGTAAAAAATGATGATCTTCTTCTTGCAGAACTAAACTCTTGAATAAAATTAAGCATGATTAATTAACTCGAAAAACTTTTAATTTCAGTGCAAATTGGAGGTGTGGGATCTGGAAATAGTTCTGGCAAGACAAAAATAGTTGCAATAGCTGCTGGGGTTACAGTTGGTATAGCTCTTGTGCTATTTGGACTAACCCTTTGCTTCTTATCAAAGAGAAGAAAACATCAAGGTTCAATCCGAACTAAATCCGTAAACAGAGGTATTATATGAATCTATCATGATAAATAAGATTGTCTAATATAAAATGCTTCATTTTCTAATGAATGTTTCTTATGATCCTAAACCAGGCACTAGCGAACGAAGTCAAGAACTTCTGATGAATGCAACTATTATTCCAAGTAAAAGAGAATTTTCTGGTGAAACTTCCACGGAAGAGTTTGAATTGCCATTATTTGATTTCAGCACCCTAGCTACGGCTACAGAAAATTTTTCTGATGCGACTAAGTTGGGCCAAGGTGGATTTGGTTGTGTTTACAAGGTAAAATCTCAGTTATATGTAAACCATAGTGGTATAATAAATAAGAAAAAATGATCGACGAACTCAATAATATAATCTTTTGATCAGGCAATGCTGGTTGGTCAAGAAGTAGCAGTCAAAAGGCTCTCGAAGAATTCCGGACAAGGAGTAGAGGAATTTAAAAATGAGCTAAGATTAATTGCCAGGCTTCAACACAGAAATCTAGTCCGGCTTCTTGGCTGTTGTGTTGATATGGAAGAGAAGATGCTGATCTATGAATACCTGGAGAATAAAAGTTTAGATTCAATTTTGTTCAGTAAGTCTTTTTCGTTGTATCGCCAAGAGAGTAGTGTTTCACATCATTTACTTACATGCTTATATAATTTGTGACTCACATTTGAATATGTTCCTCAGATAAACAGAATAGCTCGCTGCTCAACTGGCAAAGGCGGTTCAATATTATTTGTGGTATTGCTCGGGGGCTTCTATACCTTCACCAAGATTCAAGATTTAGGATTATCCACAGAGACCTTAAAGCAAGCAATATTCTGCTTGATAAGGATTTGACCCCCAAAATATCAGATTTTGGCATGGCAAGAATATTTGGCGGAGATGAGACTGAAGGAAATACAAAAAGAGTAGTTGGAACCTAGTAAGCACTCAACATAATTTCTTCACATAATTCATAGAACCTTTAAAGCTGTTACTAAATCTGTTTTTTGTTTTGATGTAGTGGTTACATGTCTCCGGAATATGCAATGGATGGCCTCTTCTCTGTTAAGTCCGATGTTTTCAGCTTTGGGGTTTTGGTGTTAGAAATAGTAACCGGGAAGAAGAACAGGGGATTCTATTATCAAAATAACCAACTCAACCTTCTTGGACATGTAAGCTTCATTATTGGTAATACATTCATTATTTGATTCATTTCTGATAAACAAAGTAATCGATTATGCAGGCGTGGAGACAATGGAAAGAAGGGAGCGGCTCAGAGTTACTAGATCCATCTTTTGGAGAATCGTTTTCTCCGTCTGAAGTAATGAGATGCATACAGGTTGGACTGTTGTGTGTCCAGGAACAAGCGGAAGACAGACCAAACATGGCCACTGTGGTTTTGATGTTAGGCAGTGAAAGCGCGTCACTACCTCAGCCTAAAAACCCAGGATTTTGCCTTGGAAGAAGACCCGTTGATTCTGATTCATATTCGACTAATTATGAAGAAACTTGCACTGTCAATCAAGTTACAGTTACCATGATAGATCCCCGGTAGTTGATGGTGTCGCCCTCAAGAAGTGTATATTACTACAAGAGGTTCACAATTTTCTCTTGTATACTTTCTCAGTTTTTGCTTTTTTGGTAAGTTTTGTGTAAGATAAAGAGTATAATTAGGTCTTTTTTTCTCATTACATACAATTGTGGGTTCAAAAATCTCTTTTTTCATCATCAATGTAATAGTCCAATCATTCCTTTTCCATATCCTTAATTGAAATCCATTGTAAATTACTGTGCTATCATTGATGTGATTCAGAAGGAATATTTTGTGCATTCATCTTCTTTGTATGTTCTATCTCCCTGCTATTTCATCCCGCATAATGTATATATGTCTTGTTATTTGAGAAGACGACAATGGCTCCTAGCTGATACTTCTTGACCAAAAATGTCAGAGCCAATACCGCATAATAGCAGTGTGATGATTTCTTATTCGACTGGGTTAGAGTCCACATTGGTTGGGGAATGATTGATCGTTTGCTTATATGAATTTGAGCAATCTTTCTCTCATGAGCTAGTTTTGGGGTTGAGTTAGGCGCATGTGACATATCTTTACATGCTATCAGAGCCACATCCATCCCCGTTTGAGCTTGCGGTCATTGTTTATAAAAACACACCTTGAGGTCAACTATATATCATATCATCACACACACAAACACACACATATATATAATTTTTTTAATTATTCATTTATGTTTATAATTATATTTATTTATCTAGTATATCAAAAGTAAGAAGCTCCTGAAACTTAGATTATCATTTTATCCCTAGGCTAAATTAAATATTAAATAATATTTTATATATTATACTAATTACTAAAACTGTGAATGTGTTAAGTTAAAAGTTGAATCAAATCTAAAATGTAATTAAATGACAAAGACATTAAAAAGATAAGAATGAAAAGATGATGGTCTAAAAACCCTTCATTTCTACAAAATAATTTTTAAAACTCTTGTCTTTTCATTTCCTCATATTGAATGAAGAAAAAGTTGGTCTTACAAAGGACAAACAATAAATAAAGACATTGGATAATATAAGATAAATTATAAGAAATGTAGTGTTCAATTATTGATATCAAAGTCTCTTTTTTTATTTGATTCCTTCTTCATCTATTATGTATTACCACATTGAATTGTGTTTATGTTTTGTCATTTTTTTCCTCTCAATTTTGGTGGCATCATAATCACAGAAAAGATTTAATTATAATTATATGTGATAAGTTCGATTCATTATATTTATTTGGTAAGAATTTGTTATTTCTTTGTAACAAAATTTTCATGTTGCACATATCACTTTTAAAATTTATTACTTATGTAGAAGATAAAATAAATATATTATCGTTTGGAATAAACTTGCAGTGCTCTTCCTGGAGACTGGTTATAACAAATAGGTAAACGGCAAAGTCTTCCTGTTGAGGGCCCTTCATCAAATTGCACCAAACAAAGGAGTAAATTGGTGATGAAAAGTCCACACAGCTTCAAGTATCCAACAAACACACCTGCATTCATAATACTAATATTGAAGTCTCAATTCTTTTCATCACTTGGAAATAGTAGGAAAGAAAAGAAAAGAATCAAGAGAGTACTAATGTATTTGTGTAGGGGAACCATTCTGCTAAAATGTTTTACATTAATCATCTTTCTGCAAACATGCAATGCTAGGAAAAGCAAACACCATTACTGTCCCCCTTCTGCTTGTGGCCATATCCGTAACATAAGAGACCCTTTCCACTTAAACACTGATCCAAAAGATTGCCATTATCCAGGATATGAATTAGCTTGTGAAGGTAACCAAACAGTTATGTGGTTATTCTCCGAGAAGTTGCACGTTCAAGGCATCGATTATCATAACAAGAAAATTCGCCTGGTAGATCCAACTTTACAAACACAAGATGATCTATGCTCTTTCAGACCTCAGTTTAACATCAACCAGTACTATAGTGTCATTGACTTACATTATTATACTTGCGATTATTCTAAAACATTTTTGGATCCCATCTTCTTGCTCAACTGTCCATTTGCTGTTAATAATTCCGCATTTGTGGAAATTAGTGGCTGCAAATTAAGCAGATACACGTATTTAAAGATTGGAGAAACGAAAGCATCAGAAGTCAATGATGGATGCAGAGTACAATTTATAGGCCTGACCTCATGGCCTAATATTAAAGATGCAGAGAACAACATTTCCCTTTCTGATTTTCATCAAGCAATCCTCTACGGATTTGAGCTTCGTTATTATCTATGGCGTTCTCCAGAAAACATAAGTAAGGTCTTCAATTATATATGCTCTGCTTCTTAATTATCATTCTTTTCCATCCTAAGAAATTAGGAAAACAATGGATTCTCACTACGATTTTATTTCTACATGATTTTGTAGGTGATATTGAACGGATTTTCAGTGAGGACTCAACCTTTTCTCTACATATACTTTTAATTTTTTAAATCCCCATTGACCTCTCATTCTAATTTTTTTGCACTTTAATCTAATCAGGGATCAGTCTGTGGCTACTTGAGTATTACGTATTTAAGCACCTGCATTATAGAGGAAGGATAAGTAAGACGTCTTCAATTATATATGTTCTGCTCTTTGATTAAAAAATGTTTTCCATCCTCAGATACGTATGAAATTAGGAAAACAATGGATTCACTCACCATAATTTAATTTCTTTATGTGTTGTAATTGTTACTTTTCTTCACATATACTTTAAGTTCTCCATTCATCGCTCATTCTAAATTTTTTGCACTTGAATCTACCCAGGGACCATTCTGTCACTGCTTCTGTATCTCATGGGTAAGTTTCTGTATATCCCTTTAGCAAGCTGTATGTTATTTGGATGGACACAACTTAACATTCCATTTCGTGAAAATAATCTATCACAAGTGAGCACAACACAAAAATTCTAAAATAGAACAACTCGAAATATATTATTCTTAGTAAAGTTATTAATAGCAATCTGAATTTGTGAAAATTAATTTCTTGGAATCCTTGATACTTCAGAATATATATATAGTAGTGTTAGAAAGTACTTAGTTAATAGCAATATTTATGTAAAGACTTATCTTCAAAACTGAAAAAAAGGATTAGTATTACCCTGATCACAGTAGAGCTGGGGTCGGCCTGACTTAATACGTGATTTAATAGGGTTGGGTTAAGATTTTTGGAGCCCATTTAAGAATTTTTTTTTTAGCCCAGCGGCCTGAATAAGCCTGCTGATTTGTGGTTATTGAGAAATATAGGTAGGGCCGGTCCATGGGCCAAATAATAATTGGATTATTACTTGAGTGAATCCTTTTTAAAAAATAATTACTTAGTTTAGACATACTCTTTAATTATTACCATTTATAGCAATATAAAACAATACTATATATTTTATTATTTTTTTCTTTGTCTCGCCTCTTTCACTTTTTTGTCTCTCAGCTTTTTACTTTTTCTCTCTTTCACGCTCCTTTCTTTTTGTTGCTCTTTCTCTCTTACTTTCTTTTTGTTGTTTTTTCTTTTTTTGCTTTCCTTTTGCTGCTCCTTCTCTCTCTCTTTCTGTTCTCTCTACTTTTTTTCGTAGAGTAGTCAATGATTCGTAGAATGAATAAAATTGTATCAATAATTAATTAAGTAAACAAATAATTTAATCGTTACAAATGAAGAGACATAATAAATTACAAAATGAATTAAACTTGAATTAAAAATATTACACACATTTAAAGTTGAATTCAAAATATATTACAATGATCTATAGAGTAAATTAAACTTGTATTAATAATGAATTAAACAAGTAATCCAATAGTACCAAATAAATCAAAAAATTGCAAAATAAATGAAATTGCTTAAATGAAAAACGTAACTAACAAAAGACAAGACAACAATCTATAAACTGAATTAAACTCATATTATTCATGAATAAAACTTATATCATATGTATCTTATAAATTATCTTTGCTTTTATCACTGAGAAAATGAGTGATAGTTGCAATATGTATTAAAAATGTATTGTACATGTCTTATAAATGTATTATTAGTGTGTTACCTAAATTATTCTTGTTGGTATCCGTAAGAAATGAGTGAAGTGTGCAATACGTATTATAAATGTATTATTCATAAATAAAACATGTATTATATGTGTTTTATAAATTACTTTTGGTTTGTATCACTAAGAATGTGAGTGATGTTTGCAATATGTATTAAAAATGTATTGTGCATGTATTATAAATGTATTATAAGTGTGTTACCTAAATTATTTTAGCTGATATCATTAAAAAGGGAATGAAGTTTGCAATATGTATTATAAATGTAGGATGTATTGTTCATGATTTTAATAGAATTTTAATACAGTTATGAAACATATCTAATACAACGTTAATACAAATGTGATATAATTCCGTAAACTTCATCCTTTTCGAGCTTCAATCCAATTTTTTCCTAAAATCAATTTCAAACTTAACCAAACCCTCTTAAAATTGCGATATAAACTCCAAACGATATTTTCAACTATTTGTAGGAACAACCTATCCAAACTAATCGCAAACGAAAGAGCAGTCAATGATTCGTAGACTGAATAAAACTTGTATCAATAATTAATTAGACAAGTAATCTAATTGTAACAAATGAAGAAACATAATAAACTGCCAAATGAATTAAACTTGAATAAAAAATGTATTACACACATATTAAAGTTGAATTAAAAGCGAATTAAACATGAATGCAAAATGTAGCAAACGAAAGAGCATTATGTGATTTGTAAACTGAATAAAACTTGTATTATAATGAATTAAAGAAGTAATTCAATCATAACAAATCAATCAATAAACTGCAAAATGAATTAACTTGTATTAAAAGTGCATACACAAATATTAAAGTTGAATTAAGCATGGATAAAAAATGTAACTAATGAAACACCAAACAATGATCTATAGAGTGAATTAAACTTATATCAATAATGAATTAAACAAGTAATCTAACAGTAACAAATAATAAACTACAAAAAACAAATTGCATTAAAAGTGTATTACACAATATTAAAGTTGAATTAGAAGAGAAAATTAACAATAAATGAAAAACGTAACTAACGAAAGACAAGACAATAATCTATAGACTGAATTAAACTTGTATTATTCATGAATAAAACATGTATTATATGTGTCTTATAAATTATTTTAGTTGTATCACTAAGAACAAGAGTGATGTTTGCAATATGTATTACAAATGTATTGTGCATATGTTAGAAATGTATTACAAGTGTGTTACTTAAATTATTTTGGGTTGATATCACTAAAAAATGAGTGAAGTTTCTAATATGTATTATAAATGTATTGTTCGTGATTTTAATACAATTTTAATACAATTATGAAACATATCTAATACAACTTTAATACAATCGCGATACCGTTCCATAAACTTCACCTTTTTCGAGTTTCAACCTAATATTTCTCCTAAAATCAATTATAAACTTAACCAAATCCTCTTAAAATTGGGATATAAACTCCAAACGACATTTTCAATTATTTGTAGGAACAACCTAACCAAACTAATCACAAATTCGTAAAATTCAAATAATGAATTCAAAATTGAATCTTTATAATGACCATCAATGGTGAACTCTTGTTTCTATAATTTTAAAGATTTGAAAATTTCTATTTGAGAACATGATATTGTACAATTTTTTGATTTTTCTATTCCTCTTCTCGTCGTGTTTTTGGATAAAAATAGTGAAATATGGGCAAAAACTGATTTAAATGAAAATTAAAAAAAAAAAAGAATAAAAAAAGAAGAAGGAAGAGTTAAACAAGTAATTCAGTCATAACAAATCAACCAATAAACTGCAAAATGAATTAAACTTGTATTACATAAATATTAAAGTTGAATTAGAGGAGATAATTAAGCATGAATAAAAAACGTAACTAATAAAAGACCAATCAGTGATCTGTAGAGTGATTAAACTTGTATGAATAATGAATTTAACAAGTAATCCAATAGTAACAAATCAACCAATAAACTGCAAAATGAATTAAACTTGTATTAAAAGTGTATTACACAGATATTAAAGTTGAATTAGAAGAGATAATAAGCATTAATAAAACAACATAACTAATAAAAGACCATACATTAATCTATAAAGTGAATTAAACTTGTATCAATAATGAATTAAACAAGTAGTCCAATAGTAACAAATCCACCAATAAACTGCAAAATGAATTAAATTTGCATTAAAAGTGTAGTACACTATATTAAAGTTGAATTAGAAGAGAGAATTAAGAAGGAATGAAAAACGTAACTAGCAAAAGATAAGAGAATGATCTATAGACTGAATTAAACTTGTATTATTCATGAATAAACATGTATTATATGTGACTTATAAGTTATTTTGATTTGTATCACTAAGAACGCGGGTGATTTTTGCAACACGTATTAACATGTAGTATGTTTGTATTATATATATTTTTCAAGTATGTGACCTAAAGTATTTTGATTGATATCAGTAAAAAGGGGATATGTCTGTCATATGTATTATAAATGTATTGTTCATGATTTTAATACAGTTTTAATACAATTATGAAATGATTCTAATACAATTTTAATACAAATATGAAAACTTCATTTTTTTCGAGCTTTAATCTAATTTTTACTCCTAAAATCAATTCTAAATTAATCAATCCCCTTAAAATTGAGATATAAACTCCAAATTATATTTTCAACTGTTTGCAAGAACAACTGATCTAAACAAATCTCAAATTGTGTAAAATTCAAATAATGAATTCAAAGTTTAAAGCTTTTTAATGACTATCAAAGGTGAATTCATGCTATTGTAATTTTAGAGATTTGAATGCGTGCTTGTGCACACGATTTTGTATAAATTTTGGGATTTTGTATTCTACTCGTTGTTTTATTAGGTGAAAATCATGAAACATGGGTGACAATCGATTTGAAGATAAAAATATTTAAAAATAGTTTTTCAGATGAAAATTGTGAAGAGGAAGAAGATGAAGAGAAATCATGATTGTAAGAGAAAAAAATTGCAGCGAAGGAGAAGAAGACATTGGATAAACAGAGACAAAGAAAAAGAGAATCGCTTAATATTAAGGAATTGTTATATTTAGTTATAAAATTTATATTGTTATAAATGGTAAATATTTTTCTTAATATAGGATACCTAGGTGATTTACCCAAAAAGTAACAAGAGTCCAAACTCAAAATCTATTTAAAGTTTTAAATATTAAAATTTAAATATGAATTAGTTTATAAAATATGTACTACATAAAAGAAAATTTTCCTAAAATTTCTAGGAATCACTACATGTAGCCTATAGAATATTGTCATAATTTTTGTGTTTTATTATGTTCATGGCTAATATTTCTATTTAGCTATTTATACTTTTACTTGAAATCAAACTTGATAAATATTATAAAGATAATTTTATTTGTGGATTTGATTAACAAGTAGTAACACAAAC